GCAGGAATAGCTGTCACGCATGACTGCTTCCAGGAAGACAGAAATCAGTACACTTTGTGCAATGTAACATTCTGAGAAGTTAGATAGTGGAGTGGGTTCAGGGCCTTTTAAGAACCAACATCCTCCTTAATGGAGCACCATTATAGGGTTGGTATCTCCTATGAGTAATTGTAAGTATGACGTGATTTCCCGCAAGCGTTGTCTTAATGTGTCCCATCTCAACTGTACCTAGCGGGTGAATTGCAAGGTTACTTTGTAGTTTCAGTATTCAGGGCAAATAAGTTGATGATTGACCCATCTTTTGTCTTGGTTTTATAATTAATTGATGGGCTGAGGTTAACACTAATTTGCAACTTGTTACAGACAAGGGAGTCTTTATTTTCATGGCTTTTTTCATATATGTGCACGCTCCAGTGACTTCTCTTTCCGTTCATCTTCATGGTGTTCAATGGTTCTAGAGCTTTTGGCATATTTTCAGTCTTATACAGAAATAAGCCATCATCACAAGATGTGACAAATCTTGGTTACAAACAGCTTCAGAATCTTCTTATCAGAAAAACGTGTTGACATTGTGGAGTTGGTACTTCAGTGCCATTGGACAGACCGCTCAGATGTGCAACATAGCATTTGAAGAGTCTGGCACTGCAAAGCAGAACCTGGTGTGTTTGGATTTTGTGCCTGTGAAAGTAAAATTTTCAAGTGTAGTTTCTTGCTGTCTCAACACCATAATCCCTATCACCAGTCCTGGTGGCTGTTTTGGGGTATTAAGGCTAGTAGAATTGGTGCTTTTGTAAATTTGCACAACAAAAACTTCAAATGATCATTCCCTTAGAGAAAGGCAGTCTCCAGTAATGTGGTGGCTGTCTTCGAGTTCAGTCAGAGATGCCTCTGTCACAGCTAATTTCAGTGTGGTGACTCTTTGCACCTTGGAGCTTTCATCATCTTACATATGGGACATCAAACTCTGAAAGCATGCGGAGACGGATAGTTTGACCTGGCCGGCAAGTGCTGGTGCAGTGAAAACTGGACAGACTGAGGTCCAGAAAGCTTGGTATCTGATGTCTCCCACACCAACAGTGTGTGCGGGTTCTCGTTGGGCTTTTGGAAGAGCATTCTGGCATCTTGGTGCCTCCAGGAGTTTTGCGCCTTGTTTGTGTTTCTCTGGGTGTTGTACTCCAAAGTGCCGAATTTCTGGCCTTTGGAAAGCTGTGACTGACTGCTTTCAGGAAAAAAGGCAATGAATGGGTTCACCTGATAGGGACAGACTTTCCGCACTTCGTGGTGCTGAAAACTGTCAGGGAAGTGATGAAAGTTCAGGAAGAAAGATTCTTTTGATAAGCAAGTTTTGAATTGTTCAGACTAAGATGAAGCAGAATGTTGTATTCACTTTTCTCCAATAAAAGCTATTAGAGACCATCTGAGTGTGTGATCAAGCAAATGCCACTTATGTTCTTTCCATGGGTATCCTTTCCGGTGGCTCAACCTCAGTGCAAGCTCAGCTTTAAATTGACTTTCATTGGCAGTTTGTTGTGTGACTGAATGATTCTACTGTAGCAGCAAAGGTGCACATACATTTTCCAGTCTGCCAACTGGGCTGTGGGGGTGGTAATGTCTGACAAGGGTGCCAGAAATATTAAGCTGTTGGAACTATTTCTGCTGTGAACATCTTCCTGTGGTGTAAGAGAATTCCTTGGGCTATAACTGGATATGTAGGAGTCAAAGGAGAATGTAAATCTTGAAAAAATAATGAAATTAAACCTGATTGCGGTATGTGAAGATTCTGAATTGAAAATATTTGAATGCCTGAAGGCATGGTCTTAGGCTGCTACTTCTGAGCCTTAGGTTTTTTTCATAATGCAGAGAGAAGATATTTTTCTGTTTGTGTAGCAAACCAACTGATTCTTGAGACAAGAGATTAAGCCACTGAGAGGTTGATTTAGGAGCTGATTCATGTCGTTTCTGTCTGTTGTCACATAAAATATTCCTCCATTATTATTATAATATTCTTTATGAATTTTTGAAACTTTTGTGGGGTTTTTTGAAGCAAATATTTGTTGTCACTGCTTTTTTTTACTGTCCCCTAACAAGAAGTTAATGCATGTCAATGTGGTTGTATGTGGCTTTATATACTGACAAATTAGCCTTTCCTTCTGAGTGTGTCTGTAGGGGGGAAAGATTAGGAAAAAAATTCTTATAAAAGAAGTTGGAGCATAGTCTTTATTCTTCTTCCTTGCAGTGACTGAACCTAAAGCAGAAACTTCTTAATTAAAAATGATCTGTTACCTCGATTATTCCATTTGAACAGTCAAGCATATGTGGAGCAGTCATGTAATTTCAGTCCCCAGTACCATGAAGTTTTAAGGTGAATAAGTGAATTAAATATGGAGTTTCACCTTTTCTTGGGAGTACTATTGCTTGTACACCTTCCTCTTGTCTTCTGTTAGGTTTGTGCCCCACTGCTTGTCCTGATGTTTAGAGTATAATTGGAAAATGTTTACCTGCAGTGAGCAGAATGGAGCTAAACTTTGATGGCAGCTCATCCTGGATCCCTTGCCCACGTTGTCCAGGTACACAGTGAAGCTGGAGCACTTCAGTTTGTTGCTAAGCTGGCAGGAATCCTGCCAGGCACTTATGGAGGTCATGCTGCTTTCAAAGCAAAAAGGCATCTGTGCTGAAAGCTGCACAGGTATTTTGCTATGTGTGAAGGCATTTTTGAGAGGCTTTGAGGTGAAGTACTAATCTGAAGACAGCTGATGGTACTAAAATTAGTGTTACTACTGAAATAAGAATTGAACAAATTTGTAAATGCTTCTTTAATTCTTTTGAAACTTTTCATCATTATGACCTCCTTGTTTGAAAAAATATATAGGGAGTATAGATCTGTAATCTGTATAGAAAGTAAATATCTGTCATTTAAGTAAATACTCAAAATTCAGACATTGCAATACACCGAAATATTTTGCTTTTAATATTTTGCACATCTTTTGTTGAGCTTCCCATTGTATCGTAACAGGCTACCTACTACTTAAACGGATTATTTTGCCAGTTCAGCAAAATAAATTCCAGTGCATCAATAAGCTAAGAGGCAAAAGAGGGTGTTCATTAAGAGGGAGTACGGAGAAGAAGCATGGCTGTGGTGGAAACTCAAGAAATAAGTGTAAATTTTTTTTTCTGTGAATATTTGTTTGCCAATGCCTAATAAATAATGTATAATGAAATTATTTGTGATCAGTGACAAAGTATTAGCAGCTCCTGCAGTTTGTATCGCCAGAGGGTAACTCTTAAATGTATTTAAGAGGTATTTAATTACTATTGGAACTATTGTTCCAATAAATTTGCTCAATGAATGTACTTCCATTCTTAATGATGAAATCAATCCATCTTGCAATGATTACATTTTTGTATTATAAAATCTACGTTCATTTACTCACTTTTTGAGGTTCTGTATAATCAGAAACAAAAATCAAATATATTTCAAACATGCCATGCATACACAAAACAAATTTTTCCTTGATTTTTAAAGAAACTGTTGGAAGTGCTGTTAAGGTATATGTAAGATGCAACAATATTGTGAGTTTTATCCAAAAGTGTCACATTTTATCTCAGGCTTCACTTGTAACATCTTTGTTACTGACAGTCACTTCAGTGGGAAGGAGGATGTGGTTTGCATAGTAAGGTAGTAGGTGCACAAAGGTATGTGTTGACTGATTTGCTGCTCAAATTTGATTGCTGGTGACACGGTCAGATGCAGAGTATCTTCATTCCTTCAGCATTAGTTGTCCAGGTGCAGCTTCTTGGATGTGACCAAGTATTTTTTGCTTTTGCAGAGTCACTTCCAAATTCTTGTTACTTTAACAAGTGATGCCATACAAAGTATTTTCGTGGTAGAAGCTGTATGGAGCTGAGGTGTCAAAAATTTGGCTGATAGTTGCACTTATGAATATTTGTGATTGTGCTTTTAGACACAATGGTTTGTGAAGGTCTGCTGAAAATTACTGTATTTGTTTAGACTCTGAATAAGTCTAGTCATGACAGCATGCTCTTTGCATAAATTCTAGAGTCCCCCGCTTGTTAAATCTTGCAGATCTTGAAAAGGTGTCTGAGTGAACTTGTTGTTCTGAACAAGATTTCATGGATTTATGTATGTGGCTTCTGTCATGCAATTTCCCTCTCCTTTTTCTCTCTGTTTTTTCACCAAAATTTTGATAAAGCTTTACTTTAAGATACCACATAAAATTTTCTTTTATTACTGGATCCTGTGATAGATAGCAATGTTCTTAGTGTTTCTGTTGAACCTTCTTAACACTTCTTAACAACTTTCATTGATATAATTTTGTAAATATTTAAAGTGCATCAATTGAACTTCTGAAAGTAGTGAAACTTTTAAGTAGGACAGAGGACAAGGCACTTAAAGTTCTGCAAATACTGTCTTCTGTAATTTGTTCTTTAGATGTAGGTGACTCCATCAATAAAGGGTAGTTGGAAAATGTTTTAGAACACTAGTGTTCTGTGCTGGTTTTTGTCTGTAGGTTGGCTCTAGTGACCATCTGCCCAGAAGATATGGGCTGTGGGGTATTTCTATATTTCTGTAATATACAACTCTGCTTTGAGCTCCAAGAAATGCTTAGAAATAATTTCTATCTTTTTTGAATGCAACTGCTTTTCTAGAGACTTTTGGATCCCCTTTCTGTTGGTTTCCAAAGGTGATATATGTTTGTGTTCTGATACTGGGCAAGCTCATTCAGACTGTGATTAAAGATGATACTTGCTGTGCCACCATGAGTGCTCAGTACTGGACCCTCACCACCAGATCCTCAGCAGGCTGTCATCATGTTGAGACTAACTGCCCCAACTGTGGACTAGAAAAGTTTATCTGATTAGCACTCCTATGAGTTATGCATAGTTGTTCCCAAATACTGCCAGCAAGGTCTTTGTCTTCACTTAATCTTTTTGTATCTTAGTTTTTGTATTTGTTAAGTTGTGTGAGTGACCTTAATATTATCTAGTTGTATGAATAATGGAGAGAGATGATCCAAATATCTCAGTATGCATAAGCACTACTGAAAGATACTTCTTGGTTTGAAAATATGTAATTTGAGAATAAACCCCTTTTCCTTAAATGTGTTTTATAGTTTCATCCATTTGTTGATCTACGATTTCTCTCAATTTGGGTGGATAATTCTTTTTAATGTGGCATAAAGTGGGATAGCTAACTGATAAATTTATATCATTCAGGTGATAAATTGGCAAATAGGATGGAACATTCAGTTAATCACATGTGAAGTTACAGAAGGCTACAGCCCTCTCAGAGTTTGGATGTGGCATTTAGGTTCCTTTTTTAGATTCCTGAACAAGTTCCTGCAAAGGAACTGCTGGATCAATGTGAAATACTCAAAGTAAAGCTGTATTGCTTTTTATCACATTAGGTAGCTGAGGTACATAGATGAATTTTGTGAAAATGAGTAGCTATAAAGGACAGCATTGAAAATGCCATTGCCAGATTTCTTTACATTTTACTGATACGGTTTAGGTCGCCTTCAAGAGGTTCACATTGGTAATACAATTCTGTTAGCCAGAAAATTATTTCTGGGCTAGGTGCTGCTTTGTGGAAGGTGGCTGCATGGCTGTTATGCTTATGTTATCCCTTGGCTACATCGCC